TACAGAAAAAAAAAACAATAAAAAAAAAAAACAGAAATCGAAATAAAAAAGGGTAAATTGGTTGACGTCATCACCAGCTTCGTCTCGTTCGTTTGGCTTAAACAAGTTGCAGGATGGATCAAAATGTATAAAAAAAGGGCAAACAGGTTTAAAAAAAACAGAAATCAAAATATTCTTTTCCGACAGCTGCTGGTCGGAAAAGAAACCGACAGAATATGGCTGTTTTGAAGTCGGTGGCGGGAAACAAACTCTTAGAATCTGCTCGCTGAACGACGTGAACGACTGGGGTCCGCTCGCTGCTCGAAGGTCATCGGAGGCGCGCAGATGGACGGTGACCGATGGGGCTGCTGCTACTCGGAATCACCGCCAGTTGCTGCTGCTGCTTGATGATTATCGACGAAGGATGGCATCGCGAACAGCTGCTCGGTCTCTCTCATCCCTGTCGCTGCGATGGCGAAAATTTGCTAGAAATATAAAATCCTCTTCTCTGAACGCTCAGCTGATAAAGAAATTCTGATTTGATTGCAGCGTAAAGGAAAATTAGTTCCTTAACTAAAGGATAAGTTACTAAAATTTGAATTCTAGTTGTAATTGAAAATATTTGTAGCTTTTTTAGATAATTTTAAAAATAAGCATATAAGGGGTAGAAAAGTGTAATATAATTTAAATGTGTTAGTATGAGGTGCAATTTCCTCTTATTTATTTATATTTTAGAGGAATTTTCACCATGTACCAACAGTTCTTATTTTTATTACACTTATATGCCCCTTATATTTTTATTTATAAAATTACCTAATCAAGCCAAAAATATTTTAATTTTACCTAAACCATTATTACCTTATTTTCAGGCATATTAAATGCAAATCCCCTAAATTAAATTGCCTGTGCAGATTCCGTTTCTTTCTTCCTCAAACTTTATCTGCAATTCACGTAACACCAGACACACGCACCTTCACTATCAATTCACCATTGAATTTGAGACCAAAGTTTATAAAATTTTATCTTCCTTGCACAAAGCCAATCCATTTAAATTTTTGCCCCAAAATTTCTAAAATCCCTAATTTCCA